CTTGAAAAAATATTCACCGATCACTTTGATTCGACTTGCTATATGATTGGGTTTTCTCAAATTTTATTTGAAAAGATGGTTGAGGTAGAGCCATATATTTGCTGCGAAAATTGTAATCCAGATATTATAAAGTCTTTGTTTATAAGAATTAGAACTTATTTTTTGATTAACTGCTTTAATAAAGAGGCAAAGCAATCTTACTTTAAAAACATAAAATTTTTGAGTGTAAAATACCGTTAAGGCAAACATAATAGTGGGATTCACGAAACGTCGCACANTTTCGACGAACAAACCTATTAATAGTTTACGACATTTGTGGAGCTTTTGGTCACACCAAGGTTTCACCCATTTAATGACTAGGAAGTTATGCCAGGATAAGATAGAAAACTTTTTCGGGCATATACGAAGAGGTGGGGGATTTGACGTGAGAATAACTCCACAGCGTTTCTCATATCTTTTTAGACAAGCCTGGGGCATAGGCTATATTCGATGTGTTGACAAGGGAAATTGCGAACTCTTGCCCGCGGATCAGTGGGAATCAGTTTCTAGTAGTACCCTCCAAAATGCATGTAATGACGCTCTGGTTAGAGATACGTCTTGGCAAATTTTTCAAGATTTGCCTAGGCCTTCCCTACACTCCGTTCAAAATCTTCAAATTGATGTATCGGTTGAAGTAAATGAAAGTAGTTTCCTTCATCGCAGTGCTTTTGTCTATTTTTGTGGCTATTTATATTTTAAATATTTTAAAATGCATAGTTGTTTAATNTACCCTCCAAAATGCATGTAATGACGCTCTGGTTAGAGATACGTCTTGGCAAATTTTTCAAGATTTGCCTAGGCCTTCCCTACACTCCGTTCAAAATCTTCAAATTGATGTATCGGTTGAAGTAAATGAAAGTAGTTTCCTTCATCGCAGTGCTTTTGTCTATTTTTGTGGCTATTTATATTTTAAATATTTTAAAGTGCATAGTTGTTTAATGCCTCTCCCAAGGTTCGATGGTTTTATTACTGAAAAGGATTTCTACTTTACTAGAGAAAAACAGTTCAGTAATAGCAATCTTGTTAAGCCTCCAAAGGAATTCATAAATTTCATTTCAAACCTTGAAAAAATATTCACCGATCACTTTGATTCGACTTGCTATATGATTGGGTTTTCTCAAATTTTATTTGAAAAGATGGTTGAGGTAGAGCCATATATTTGCTGCGAAAATTGTAATCCAGATATTATAAAGTCTTTGTTTATAAGAATTAGAACTTATTTTTTGATTAACTGCTTTAATAAAGAGGCAAAGCAATCTTACTTTAAAAACATAAAATTTTTGAGTGTAAAATACCGTTAAGGCAAACATATAATAGTGGGATTCACGAAACGTCGCACATGTTTTTTTTTTTTTTTGAATACTTAACTTTTTTTTGTTGTTTTTTCAACATATTTTGTGGGCCGTCAGCCGACAGGTGTGCGGACGGTTGTCACTCCTTTGGGGGTGTCTTCCGTCCCCATGCACTGCCGGAAGTGCGGCTACACTCTCCACGCGGGGGCGGCTGGAAACAGGCTATAGCTACGGTCATGTCTCTGGCTATAGTGCTGGCTAGTGGTAGTCGGGGAGAAGAAAACTCCCGGGAAGAAGAGGCTAGTATTAGGGGACAGTCTGAGGACGGAGATGACTTTGGTCTCCTACCGTCTCTCAGATTGCCCACTGAGCTGCCGTTTCCTCTCAAAAAATTACCCCAACTCCAAGGTGGAACAGCGTATGCCGATGGATGCGTGGCCAGGGGGGAGCCTGGTCGTTAATATGCGAACTCTGGATACCGGTCTCTCTCCAGTTTCAACTAGACTTACCGTGGGATCGGGATTACCGCGGCGTACTTTTCCCTTTTCCCCTTCACTCGTGGGAACAAAATGAATTCAAATAAAAATAAACCAAATTTAGATGAGCCCGATGATGCTCAGAAATCATCACTCACTGCAGCCTTTGGGCTGCTCTCAACTTCCTCTGACGGAGCCATTGGGCACGTCAAAGGAGGAGCATGCAATGTTTCGTCAGGTGCTGAGTCGGACAGCACGTTGATTCCTGACAGCATGAGCATTTGCTCTGAAAGTTCAGGGCTTACGGAAGTAGGCACAATGCTGCAAAAAGTGAAGCTGGACCCCAAGTCCAGCTTTGTTTACTTCAACTCGAAAGAGCGGAAGATTTTCAGGCGTGCCCTAGGCGAAGGCAAGACTAGGGAGGAAGCCTTAAAAATGGCCAAAACTACGTCAACGACCACTGGGAAGTTGAAACGTATTCGCCCCGAGGAGAAATCACCCAGTGGCAATGTCACGAAAAAACCCAGACCGGCTCACATGGGGCCCGCAAAAACCACCTTTAGCCGGGTGGTAAGTAGCGTAGACTTGGGTTTTGTTCCGGTTGACTCAGTCAACGATTCTTTAACAGTGGAGCAACTGGCACTGCTACAAGAGGCGATAATAGACGTCGCGATTGAGAACTCGAGCGACGACGTAAAGCCCGAGTTCGAAAGTTGTGCCCCTCGAGCTGGGTGGCTTCTTGTCGTCTGCTCGAACGCTCAAACAGCGACGTGGCTAAAATCGAACGTCCAGCTTATCAAGACCAAGTGTGGTCTGGACGTTAACCTTGTGGAAGAAAATGAGTTCCCTCGAACTCACGTAATCCGAGGATATTTCCCCCAGAGTTTCCAGCTCAGTAACGAGAAGATTCTGAACACCATCACTGCTCAGAATCGCATTTCGACCGCTGGCTGGAAGATATCGCACAGGCTGACAAGTGGTCAGTTTGTACATTTGGTACTGCTCATTGACCACGTATCAATGACGAGACTCGCTGCGGTGAATGGTCGGATAGCCTACAGATTCGGCCACATAAAATGACATCTTAGGGGCACTTCGCCTACGAAGGAGCCGCAGAGTGTTGAGACGGAGGCGGGGAAACCTACAGATGCCTCGACAGAAATCGACCTGGACTCTTGCTCATCCTCCAGCAAGGCCACTGGGCAGGCTGAGAGCTGGCACGAGGTCATTCCAGTCTCGAAAGCTGCCGAAGTGATGGCGGTGAAACCGACTCCGCCACAACTTCCATTAAAGGAGATGGTTGACCCCCCCTTGGGCCAGGGCGAACATCCTACCCGTAGTGACAACCGAGCAACTGTGCAGGCTGGGACTGCGTCGTCGGTGGTTGCATCGGCTTCAGAGAGGGATCAACAACGTCTCCCAACGTCCCAACGGAAGAAATGAGAAACGCATTTCATCTACTTTTTTTTAGTCCCTTTTTTTAACATATAAAATTAGAAGCTGTCACCGTGGGTGAGTTATGTATATGTATTATAATTTAAATTCCGTAACTACTTCGAAGTTGTACATATGTATATGTATGTTTATTAATATATTTTACGTTATTGTTCTTACCCATTGTACCTGAATTTTCAATGGCATCTCATATTTTAATTTTCTACTAGTACAAGTAGTACTGTTTAGACACTGTTCTTCTGATGTATTAATGTGCATGTATATATGTAGAATATTTGCTTTATATGGGTGAAAATAGGCCTCAAGGGGAACCGAACACCCAAAAAAAGTCGGTAACGCGCCTTTATTGCAACCTCAGCGGTGGTGTGGAAAAGCAATAATAAATTCCCATATTTAAATTTACTTTGAGGCTTTATGTAAAAAAAAAACTAATAAAACGTTTCACTTACCACCAGATTTATATGTACATATATCCCAATACCAATTTTTAAATATTGAATTTTGTATTTATTTATTCATAATATATTTATATTTATATATATGTATATATGTTAATTTAATTAAAAATTTTGCTATGCTAATAAGTAACTTTTTATTGTACTGTTATTTGTTGAATAAAAATAAATAAATAAATGAAACAATTAATTACGAAAGTGGTTGGTTTCTTTATTTTCATTTATGTACATATCCCACATTTGTTGCAAGAGTGTGCAGCTCATCGAATTCAATGAATTTATGAATTTATGAATTGTAAAGTTTTATTATACATACATATTTTAAATTTTAGGCCCAAAACGCCGTAATAATAAATAAGTAAATAAATACATATATATAAATGAAATAGGGCGTTTTTAAAAGCTTTTTGAGATAGGGCGTTTTCGAACTGGCTGCCGAGGTTTCCAAAAGTTGAAAAATTTGTATAAAAAAGTTAAGCGATTTTAACGGTATTATAATCACAAGAAAGGTAATCGATTTCCCTTTCTTCACATATATATATAAACAGTTCCAAAGTATTTATATTAGTTCACAAAAATTCAGTTTTCTTACATCTTTGGAAAATTTGACCGCGATTTTTCAGCATACATATAGATGTTTTCAAAAATTGAAAAATTTCTATAGAAAAAGATAAGCGATTTTAACGGTATTATAATCAAAAGAAAGGTAATCGAATTACCCTTCTTTCGATATATATGTGCAATTAAAAACCGTTTATAGAGGTTCTTAAATACTCAGTTTTCTTACAACTTTGCAAAATTTTATCGGGTTTTTTCTTTTTTATGTGTTAAAATAAATATGTACATACAATAGAAATAACTATTAAAACAATTTATTAAAAATTTGTTAGTTAAGCGTAAAATATTTGAAAATTAGACTAGAAGTGCCTTTACCACTGATTGCCGGCGTTTGTTGGACATTTTCAAATCCGATTGCAGGATCGCTGAACTCCATTTACATAATATTGCCTGATGAGGTGTCTGCTACTATGGCGATTGCATTCGTTTATCATTTAAATTTTCCGCTAAACATTTGAAAAAAAAACCAAAAATGCCTTAGTAATTAAATAACTACCTGCTACAATATAACCCACAGTGCAGGCTTTCCAGTAACTCTCAATGGCATTATCGAACTTCTCCAATTTTTCCATCCAGCATGGTGCTATGCGCAACTAAAAAATTTACATCCAACGAAGCTTCGACAAATGAAATCTAAAAGAAAAATTAACGTATTAAAATAACGAAAAATAAATATGTAATTTATATATTATTAAAATATTTATATAAATACATGTGTATATGTAAAATATATATGTACATACATATAGATGTATATATTTCCATTGCACTTTCTTCTTTTTACCTACATACATAGTATGTACACATGTAGGTAGGTGCAGCTCACTTTGTACAAATGTATTTGCAATTCCCTTTCTTTTTGTGCTTAACTGCATACATATGTATGTATGTACACATTTGTGCAGTTGCAGTTGGAGCGTTCATTTAGTGAAATATTCTTTTGCAATTTTTTCATATACGCCTCACTTTATTCTGTTTGCACACATATCTACACATGTAGGTACCCAGCCAATATGCTGGTTGGTTGGAAAGATGCAACTAGAACTGATGCTAATAATGCAGCGAATGCAAATATTATTCCTGACCAAAATGACTGTTTTCAAAAACGCATCAATTCTTTAGTGCACAAATAAACGAAATTTGTGCGCATTGGAAAGCCGCCAAAAGGTGAGAGTCTACTGCACTTTGCACATATTTTGCAGCACACTTTTTGTTCTTTACATACATATGTACCTATTTGCAGCTGGAGCATTCTGCTGCACTTTCTAACATACATATGTATGTATATATTAGCACTGCACTTCTTTTTACCTACATATGTACACATTTAGGTAGTTACAGCTGGACCATTCTACTGCACTTTTTAAATATTCGCACACTTTTAAATTTTATTGTTTATATATATGTGTACACATTAAGGTAGTTGCAGCTACACTTTGTACAAATGCCCTGGTACAAAACTCACCGAACAATGTATTGTCTTCATTCCCCTCGCCAACAAACCATGCTTGCACAATTATTCGTGCGTGTTTTAGGCCAATGGCATTTTCGCACTAAGTTTTTCAGCTACATTCAGCTATGCTTCGGCCACATCTTCAACAGGCAATGCAATGGTAACGGTTACCCAGAGCCATTATAGAATTCCTAAATGAACGTTCTATAAATATCTGAAGTCATAAATAAATGATTTAAAGAATATAGCAAGCTTACCTTCACAATTTTATACGTATACTAGCCAATGCCCACTTGCTTCACGGCGCCTAATAAGAACTTTTGCGTCGGTTAATGCTAAACAAAAACAAAAGAAAAAACAGTCTGTAAAGTCAAAATTTTTAGTAAGTTGAAACCACTAAAGCACGGTATCCTCCTCACACATAGACCGAGAATAGTAACGCTGTGATACTGTATGAAAAACTAATCCCTTTCGGTGACATGAGCTTTGCCGCGGATGGTCTTATTTCCACCTGTGAAATCTCTGCCAAGCGTGCATAATCTTCTTTGATCTTGCAACTACAACATTTTTCCGATGCGTAAGCCAGTAAAAGTCCTCATAAGGAAACTCAAGAGCACAGATGTGCGTTTTCTGTTATAGGAGGGCCAAGAATCCTCGCTGTCCTGCTGGATGAAAAGTTTTCCCGAACATTGGCTAAATGAGTCGTGTGATCCCTTGAATATCGTTCAAATTGAGCAATCGATATACCTACCGTTTTCCTTCCTTGTTAATTCGCCACTTATACAATTCGTGTTAATATTTATTGGTGCCTATTTGTTGTTAAAAAATTTTGTAAACAAGACCGCGGCCATATTTATATGCAGTGATGTATTTTATGGTACTTATAAAATGCATCATTACAATCACAAAGTTGCATTTTATGGTAAGGTCCTGTGCCAATTGATAGAAAAGTACTCTGGATAGTAAATTTTTGACAGCTAAGAGGTGAATAAAAGTGGTTAATCCGGCAGGGCTAGTGAAAAATTTAACAGCAAGCATTAGCTTTGTTTCTTTACAGATAATTATAACTAGTTTCTGCTGGAAAGGTTTCCTAACCCAAAAAACTGGCAGAAACTAACAGCTCTCTCTCGTTCTTATGCTCTTCTTTTTTTGTATACATAAATGCTAAGTATGAAAAAATAAATCGATTAAGCGATGATTGAAAAATTAAATTATCTTGAGGAAACTTGGTACGTGTACCTCTTTTGAGCCTAGGACCGATGGTATTGAAAATGGGCAAAATCGGCCAATAACCACGCCAACCTCCCATATAACGGTAGTTTTCAGATAAACGAAACTGCGATATTTTGGTAACTTCTGAAGCTTATTCACTCAAAATTGATATTTACAATGATCTTCAGGAGGAAAATAAGTGAATCTTGGTAACCGCTCCATCAATGTCTTCCAAACTAGACACAATAGTTGGTCCTGGTAAAAAATACCAAACATCTGAAAATTTTTGAAAATCGGACAATAACCATGCCCACCTCCTATATAACGGTAATTTAGAGAAATACGAAATCTTGGATATATCAGTAACTACTTAAGCTAATTTATTCCAATTTGATGTTTGCAATAATTCTCTAGCAAGAAATACGTTAATGACAAATTTTTAGAAAATGAGCGACCACACTAGTGTATCTCGGTAACCGTTCTATGAAATTGTACTAAGCTCGGTATAAATATTGTACTTGACACACAAAACCAAGAAGAGAAAATTTAAGAAGTCGGAATAAAATTGCGCTTTTCATATAACGGTAAATTTCAGAACTGCTGAACCACCCCTGCTTACCATTTAACGGTAGATTTCGGAAAGGTGAAAAAATTATATTTAATACTTGCGCCGGGTATTCAAGATTCGGCTTCGCCCGAACTTAAACTTTTTTACTTGTTTACAATAACAAAACCATAAATTTGTTTTTAATTCGATATTTACTTAAACTCCATAAAGGTTTAATTTTAATTTTGAGCCTTTTTGCAGTTATTATACAGCTAAATAGCACATGAATTACATAATTCACGTAGATTTCATAACATTTCGTTCAATATTTCATTTAAAATGCCAAATTTCCTGCAAATGCATTAGAATTTACAAAAGAAATTTCACTACTAATCTACTACTTTGTGTACTTTTCTACTACAATTTTTGCAACAAGGAATTCCAATCTTTCCCGTTTCCCCGTTCCCGTTTTATTATTGAATCACGCTAGAGAAGTAAAGAAATAAAGCTATTATCAAGAGTAAACCAAAGCGAGTGGGTATTAGAGAAAACATTTCTAGAAGGATGGATTTAAATTCTGGAAGATCCGAAATCAGCAAATTCTAATATTTTCTTTATAATCGCTGTATTTTTTTAATTGCTAACTCGATACTCTTCTTCTGCATCACGGCAACTGTCAAAAATTTCCAGCAGTAAAAAGTTACGAATTGGCACAGCAGAAATGTAAAATTTTCTCACCATAGTAAAAAGTTTTTACACCATAGAACTTTTCTACTGATTGGCACAGGCCCTAACATTAAAATCAATGCAAAATCGACAAAAGTACTTCAAAATAATATCTATGACTAACAAAATTTACACTAATTCATATTTTCTTAGTTATAGTAATGCTTTTTTAATTATAAATTCCTAAATTTGCACGAAATTTTTTAAACTTTTCAATAAGATATATTATGATTTTTAACCTTTTTAATGCAACAATGTTGCAAAAACGTGCGTTTTAAAATCAGGTGATCTCAGCTGTAGGCATTTTTTGGCAATCAGCTGATAGTGTTTTTACTTATGAAACTGTAGAATGCCCTCAGTGCTAGCTGGCTTAGCTGTAATGATCATTTTGATTCCAGTCAATGGTGTTATTGCCAATCGCATTAAAGTATATCAAATAAGACAAAAGAAGTACAAGGATGAGCGTGTCAAGTTAATGAATGAGGTGTTGAGCGGTATTAAGGTAAGATGACGGAATTTGTGTTTAGTCAAATGAAGTTAATTAGATTCGTAATCTGTTACATTTTTGGTTTGTAGATACTTAAATTATACGCCTGGGAACCAAGTTTCGAAAATCAGGTATTGCGTATACGTGAAAAGGAAAAAGCAACTTTAAAATCCACAGCTTATCTGAATGCTGGTACCTCCATAGACCATAGGAGTCCTATGCACCCTTCTTGGTAAGCTTTACGAAAGCTTCAAACAAACATATTTTTCTTTTCTTTACAGCGTTCTTCACAAAAATAATTGGAAAGCAATTCGTCGCAGGTAGACAAACATTTTTTCAGGAAAGAATTGAATATTTGTGCAGCTGTCGACCACAAAACATAAACGGCTGTGTTCGCAGCTGAAGTAAAAATAAAAATGTGGAATAACTTTTTTTAGTTTTAAGTTTAATGAAGTACCAGAAAATAATTTTTTGTTAAATGACCAAAATTGATCTCTTTGTGAAGTTTTTGTGGCCCTAAAAAGGGCCTTGCAAGCATTCATTAAAATATTATCTCTGCGAACTTTTTTGGCCCTAAAAGGGCCTTTAATGCGTACATGCATTTATTACAAATCAGAACTCTTTTTTTTTGCGGCTCTGAAAAGGGCCTTTGAAATGTTGAAAGTGTTTACCTGAAATTAAATGAATTTATATTGTTTATGAAACTGTACGCGGTTTAAAAGTGTCACTCACCAAAAGTACATATCAGTGGTTTAATTAGCGTTGTAGTGGGCTGTGCTGAAATAAAAAGATAATTTATATTTATTTAAGAAGCATTAAGTCTTTTCTTTACCAGATCAGAGAGTTATTTTACTCAACTTTATGTAGCGCAACATCCTGTGCTTAGCTTTCTGCACCTTCAAGCGTTTGTTCAAATGTCATACGCGGAAAAATAGGCGGCACTTAAAAAAAATCGTTTCACAATTTCCGGAAGATCCATATGTGTGCTTTGATCGAGTATGTGCTGTTTTATATTTCTGCAACGCGCGATTTCGGTGGAATTTACGGTGTGAAAAACTGCTTCCAGACACTTCACACCACTGAGGAAATTAGTAGAGGGTTTTTTCAAAAATCCCTTTAAAACCTGATTCACCCAAGTAAAGGATGCGATATTTGAATCCTCATGCTCGTGGAGATGCTGTTTTCGGATTATGTAACCCGCCAAGTACGTCGTTGTCTACATATATTTACGCCGCTTAATGCGTCCACAACTTCGGGATCTTCAACTCCGGTCTCATGGGGTGCGCCATCAGCTTCAATGTCACACAAAGCCTGCGGATTCGACTAGTTGAGCCATTCGGTCGAATTTTGCTCCACATTGCCAGTGTTCTGCAAGTTTTCGGTGTTTCTTGCTGTATGAAAATTTAAACATTGATTATTAAATTCTTATGTTAAAAAAAATTTAGAATAATTACCCAAGATATATTTACGAAGCCTATACCGGAACTCTTTTGGTGTTGGATGGTCGTTAAGGCCACCTTTGCTGCGAATACTACCAAAAAAAATGCTCAAGTATGTCCTGGTTGACTCGCCACGTCAATATATACTTGAAGTCGTACTTGGCCTGCGTATATTCATACAACATTGGCAGCGCTCTACTCGTGATCAACACACCCTTCTGGAACTGCTGCACACTTGTTTTCCCAGCTATTACCACTTCTGACATATATTTATCCATCTGTAGCAGCATGTCTTTCTGCTGGATCAGTTTGAGGCCGAATGGCTCCTTTAAAAGATAATAGCCTTAATTGTTTACCAACATACTAATAATAAACTTTACTTTTCCTGGGTAATTGTACGTTTTCATGGATGAGTTCAAGACAGTCGTTTATTAACTGCATCAAATCTGCAGTCTCAACTGGATTAGTTACGTCCAGGCCGAGCGAATAGCAGCGTCGTCTAGCGTTTGCGGTTGTGCTCGAAAGCAACTGTGTTGCTAACTTCACTTTGGTCTGCTTAATAAACTTTAAGAAACCTACATACGTAGATTTCCAACACAAAATTATTTAATGTACCTATGCCTTTCACTGATAAGTGTTCCTCGCTTAGTTTAAATGTAATGGACATATCAGTCGCAGAGGTATGCTTCATTACATCTACTAACGCAAGAGTATTTATAATTTTTCCCTTCCAAATCAGACCGGAATCAATATAATGATTCCTGATAAGTTTCAGCAAATGCATATCACAAACGATTGCCACGACAGGAAAACCAGCGTTCTGAACTGACACGATGATGTTGCTTAGAAGCTCGACGTCGACCTTGCAGTCGAAGTCATAGAAAACGGGCTGTTTCCATCTTCTGTACAATCCACTCAAGTAGCACACTAGTGTATAAATTGGTGTAAATTTACGAATTTTGGTATAAATTTGATGAACTGTACCAAAATTCACAAATTGACTCCAAGTTATACACCAGTGTGCTACTTGAGCACGCGCCATTACCACTTGCACATAATTTGCAGGTTTTCTCACGAAGTCATACGCTTCAGTCACCTTCATTTCGTCGAACACTAGTATGCACACTTTCTCCTGGACGGAGTAATCATTAATGTGACGCATCAAGTCTAACGAAACTGTAAGTATGCCCTCATTTACGTTAATCCTTCGACACCACCTTTGTAAGGGAGTTACGTGAGGAAGTGGAAACCCATTTTCATACAAATGCCTATATGCTCTGGGACCGGCAGCGTGAAGACATATAGCTTTTGATATGTCTTTCCTCGACAACTGAACACTTTTGTCTGCGATAAATATAA